ACCACTCTCTCTCTCTCTCTCTCTCTCTCTCTCTCTCTCTCTCTCTCTCTCTTTGCTTCTATTTTCTCTTGGTCTTTCTCTCTAGAAAAAACAGTAATATACTATTTTGGAATGAGATGAAAGGTTTTGGAGAGGGGTAGGCTACTTGAATCTTAATTGTTTTAATGATTTGATGTCCTTTGAGAGTGTTATGGTTGGGTCCGGGAAGGTAATGGAAGCTACCAAACCTCATTATTTGGTCATTTGGAATGATTCCAATTCGACTTGAGTATTTATTTTACTATTCACAGTTGTGTATAATCTAATTAATTAGGAATGATAATTATAGGATCATTGTCAGCTATAATTTCCCTGTTTATGGACCCAACACAGGCTACAATATTAAGCAACAATCTTCTTATCAAGCAAAGTACAGTTCATTTCATATTTATATTTTCTAATAATTGCTATATATATTTTCTACTTCCATTATGATTCACTATCAACACTAAACAATTGACAAAGGTTGCAAGGAAGAAGCACAACTCAGACATCCATGTAACAAATATGGATCATATTTTGGACCATCTTGATATAGTTGAGATATAAAAAGGCAGGTGATTTAGGTGTGTTCAAGATAATCACATTACATGTGTTGCAGCCCAAATAAGATTTGTAGCAATTAGCACTTGAGATGCATAAGATACAACTAAAGTCAAGTCATGACCCATATGTTGTTCAATCACCATGTATCTCAATTTGTTTAATGTAGGGGGAGATGTATCCCTCACCCCAACATGATGATGCAAAGTTGCTATTAGGATAATTAGGACATTGAGACATGAATCTCTTAGAATGATTATGATTGTGCTGTCTAATTGTGTTTTCATCTTCTATATTCAAGTTGTAATAGTGGAGATGAGATGATGCTACCAGCTGAAGTCATGACCCATTGCTTGAAGCAATTGTTCAAGTTTGTTCATGTTGACCCAACAAGATGATGTAAAGTTGCTATTAAACTACATAATTTATGCATTTTAGAATGTTGACTTATGGGCAGGTCAAACTATTGTTGTAAATACATGCTCATTCAACAATTTATAAACTAATTATTGAAAAAATCATGCATGTCAAAGAAACATAAATAAAAGGTTAAGAAAAATTAATGTTAGTTTCCATCATAGAATATTTTTTACTCAATTGTGAATGTTAAACCTCTTTTTATATAATACACTGTTTTGGTGAATATTATTTCAAATATATGTTAGATATAATTGTTCTTTTTTTTATGAGAGAAATCTTTTCACCTGAGTTATCTTCTCTTTTACATGATTTGTATATATTCTTGGTCTTGAAATTTTAAATATATTTGCATTCTTGAAAAAAAAATTAACCTTGTGTAGGAGAGACTTCTGTCTTCTATTACCAATGTGAAAACTTGTGATGAATATAATTATAGATTGACAAAATTTGCTTTAGAAAAGAACCAACTCTAATAAGAACTTTGTGTCCTTAATATGCATTGATGTTGATAGGAAGTCACTGCAAGCATTTCCCCACTCTGAATCCAAACCTTGCACATTTCAAGAATAGTTAATGGCAGAGCCAAAATTGTTTCCTATCATGAAATTAAAACAGATAATTTCTAGCTAATTCTCTTTACAAGCAATGTGGCAGTGACTGATGATCCTGCAAGGGCATCCACAATTTGTATTGTCAAAATCAAACCATGGTCTATCCATTAGAGAGAGAGAGAGAGAGAGAGAGAGAGAGAGAGAGAGAGAGAGAGAGAGAGAGAAAGTGTGTCTTGGTGCAGCTCACCATTTAGGACCATCCAAAATGGTCACTTCTCCTATTGCAAAGGACATATCAACAAACTTCATCTTGCTGTGTTTCCACCCAAACCTCTGTTGAACAAGACATCTCAATTATTGAGGCACTTCAAGTTATGGGACAACACTATGTTGTAGTTGAGTGCCTAACATTTGATGAGTACATAAAGTTGGATGTCTTTGGGCTCATTGTGGGATACTTGCTATCCAAAGGATTGTTGATTTATGGGAAGATTGTGATAGTAGGGTTAATCGAGATCAAACCTCATCATCATTTATTATAAATTGAATTAGATTCGATCAATGAAATTGCGTTGAGCTATGTTTAGATCAGTTCAATTCTATTCCAATGAATTGATGA